ATCTTTATTATTGCACGGAGAGTCATGGTGGCCATTTTCAACATTTACTTGCCTAACGGGTCAGTTCGTTCTTCATTTTTAAATTACTTTGCTGCCAAATGTTTTGATCTACACTAACGATGATGTATTAGTTTTATTTAAGCTTTAAATCAATAAATCTTCAAAACTACTGAGCTGAAGTACATTAATTTTATATCATTATAAAGGGAATTGACACTCCACCCCCCTTTCCATTTAAGATTTTGGGGTTGGTGTCACCCCCGCTTAGGGGGCTGCACGTGCTAACGTGATTTTTTGCCAAACTTGTGTTCCCTCGAAAACAAAATCGACGGGTCTGAGCGTTTTCCAAAATAAAAACTGAGCTGCCAGTAAAAGTGTCTGTTTAGTTTTCGATGCGCCACCCTGTATATATTCATAAAGCAGCACCTCCAAAAATTGAGAAAAATCACATACGAGCGATATTGCCCTATAATTATTTACATCATTCACTTTTCCGCTCTTAAAAATAGGACATACCTTGGAGGCCTTCCAGCAGTCCGGAAAGACACCATCTTGGAGCGATTTGTAGGAAATTTGACATAAAGGCCTTAACAAAAAGCTCTAATGCCGATATCTGTGCATACACAGATGGCTCCAAGACCGAGGTAGGTGTTGGAACTGGTATCTTCGTGACGAAGCTAAAGATTAAAAAATCTGCTGGCCCAACTGGGCATCGCTCTTCCAGACGGAGCTATATGCTATAGAACTGGGTCCCAGAATGATCGTAGAACGACAACTCAGGCACAGAACTATAATAATTTTTCCAGATAGTCAAGCCTCACTTAAAGCACTTGACTCATGTGGATACCAGGACATACAGGTCTAGAGGGAAACTAAACAGCTGACACCCTGGCAAAGAGTGGGACTAGCACACCCCCGTCATAAGGTCTGGGCCAGTGATTGGGATCGCATACAATACGGATAAACAAATAGTTTCTGCAGAGATGCACAGAAAGATCCATCAGTACTGAGAGGGATTAGCAGGGTTAACCCACGGTAAGGCAACAATACCAGTCTTGACAAAGAAGGTAACACTCTTTGCTACAGCTGAACAGGAATGGCCTCAAACCTCTAGTAGGACTGTACACTGGTCATTGCAAATTGCGCCACCAGATGAGCAGGCTGGGCATGGCGGAAGACGCTGAGTGCAAACTGTGCACGGAGGGAGATGAAACGGTCAGGCATGTACTGTGCAGATGCCCTGCAATTACCAGATTCAGGTGCAATATACTTGGAGACATAGTACTCCAAGCAGAAGACCTGAAGGATATTTTCCCAAACAAGCTGTTCGACTTCTTCAGGAGGTCGGAGCTACTGGGGGAAATATAAATAGTTGTGAACCACAATAGACCAAAGAGTCGTAGTGGAGGATCGTTATTGATGCACTCACAAAAAACCTAACCTAAGATGGCAGTGCGCCAATTTCCCTTTTAATTATTGAAACTTATATCGTAACGACTGTTTCATGAGTGGTAAGTTTGAAGCAGGTCTTAAGGCAGTCTTCAGAAAGTCGTTAGGTAGTCTGGTTTATTTCGTTTTCCTTGGAATCTAAAACGACTTTTGTCTAATCTTGAGATACTCACCTTGTGAAAAGATTTCTTGTTGTACTCGCCAACTTATTTAGGTGGCAGACATCCCGAGGAAGTTACACGGCCGTCTCATAAAATTAGATTAAAAACTGGCGTAATCGTAAAGTAAGGCGAGATAATTCGAAAACTTTCTTTTACTGTGTTTACCCGTAGAGCTTAGAACAGCTTTCGGATCCATCATAAAGTTCAGTTTAAAAAACGACAACACATACTCCTCAGCTTTTTTCTAAATCAATTAACATTTAGAGGAAGTAGAAGACTTGCCAGGGTATTTGGGATAATGTTCAAAAAAGTTTCATCTCGTGGATTATAGTCGACCATACACTAGCTAGGATCTTTTTGCCTCCTCATCACAAAAATATGTGAACACTCTTATTTCGTAACTGTAAAAGTAAGTCAAGTCATCCTTGGCTATTGGGGCTGTCCATGTGATCTTAGCTTTTGTGTTATAGTGTTAGTTGGTAAGTCTGTCAGGTCTGTAAACCGGAAACTAGAGAAGTTGAAGGAAAAAAGGAAATTAAACCATCAAGAAGGAGAGCAAAGAGGAAGAAGAGGACATGGATCATTTGACAGATTTAGTTGTCTATTTATTCATTTATTAATTTATTTACTCGTATGTATACTATCTTAACGGATTATTACATGACTTGACAGATAGTGACACAGGAATCAATTTTAAGACATATACGAGTACTGGTTCTTACTACTCAAAATAAGGCTATAATAATTTTTTACCAGTTTCTCGTAACCGCTGATCGATTCGCTGGGAAGCCTTTGAATTAAGCAGGTGCCTATCAGGGAAGCTATCAGCATACAATCTTCGTGCCTTTAAAGCATTAAGTCTTACCAATCCGTACATTAAATGGATATCAGAATTTTCGTCAAATGTTTAACAACTTATTGTCAACTTAAAATTATTCATAAACTCGCTTTAGAACCGAGTAGGGGAATTACCGCGCGGTGTTCACTTGTCTAAATTTCCTCTATAAGTGTATTGTTTCATTTGGATACTATAGCGAGTAGACGTATTGTAAGCATAGTAAAGCAAGTTAACATTTGTGTTACCATTGATTCCATTAGCCAAAGTTTAATGTTTAAATAAGATGTCGTTTCACATAGACAAATCCAAGTTATACCAAAAATTGTTTGAAAGTTTTAAAAAATCTCATACAAGTACGGAAGTACAAAGTGTGTCGAAGTTACAAATTACAAGCAAAATCCGACAAGGAACTAGATATTATTGTATCTAAGAGAATCGAAGAAGTATTGCAAGTGGCGACTAAGAATAAATCCAATCTACTAAATTTTTTTTTTAAGGTGAGTGACGAAATCATTTTAGGTACCTATGAGTACTAGAAATACTAGAAATCGCCAAAAAGTTTATCTTTACTGATTAGAAAATATTAAGGCCTATCTCAAAGTATAGAGGTAATATTCATTATATCATAGATTTATTTTTTATGATTGTTTCCGTCAATTGGTCACAAAGTACAGGATGTCAGTTTTATACATATATACAGAAAACTAAAACTAACTTGAGACCGGAACGAATTTCTCGTTTAAACTTTAGATTTAAAGCCATAGGGTTTGTATTTACCATATATACTGCCATACTTTGTATTTATGTAGCTTAATAAGAGAATCTTTAGCAGAAGCCATAGAAAGTTTTTATTTTTAGGTAACCTGTAAACCTGAAGAAAAAACCCAAATTATACAGTCGGCTTCAAATATTAAAAAAGAGGAGAAGATAAATAAAACCCGGTAATGAATCACAACAGCAATGCGAAATTAATGAAAATACAGATAAACAGAGAGCAAAACCTCCTCAGGAAGCTATTAAAAATAAGATTGGTCTACTCGAAAAAAATCTGAATGCTTTGTATTCTGCCAGATATACTATGCAAAGCCGTGCTGAAGTTGATAAACAGATCATTAAGTTGCGCGAGGAAATAAAAACAGCAAAACAGTCTTTAAACAGGAAGGTTCAAAACGCAGTTGCCCAGAGGAAACACAGGGATGGTATGAAAGAAAGTTAGAGAGAACAAGAGCCACTTAGATAGCAAGTTCGCTGAAACATCAATCCATTATATAGAGAACATAGCATCCATACTTGGACCAGATCAAGTATTTTTCATATCTCAAGATGATGAAGCTCGAGTCCCTATTGGCGTAACTGCGGCAAATAGGCAAGCACCTCTTCTAATGCACATGGAATATAGAATCAAATTGCCTGATCACGATTGGGTAATCGCTGAGCGTCATAAATTAATACCATCTGTTTAAGCTGGTACCAAAATCACTTCGAATATGCTAGGACAACCGCAAGCCGTTGGATGTTCTGGACCAACATACATCGCTATTCGGAGTGGAAAGCACAGTTCATCTACTGCTAATACCCATGCCCAGGATTTCGAGACGCATCTCGAACTTGAAGAGTTTCGACCATCAGCTAAAACTGACCATGAACTAGTAAAACCAGTGGTAATCGTGACGGTCGATGGAGGGCCAGATGAAAATCCACGTTATCAAAAAGATAGATAGATAGATAGATAGATAGTTTATTGTCCTATTAGATCATGTTACATGATATAAGACTTGTCAATATCAATTTGAAGGTCATATATGCCTTTGAGCAAATATGCCAGAAAAATACTTGTAATTATAAAATAAATAAGGACATTACAATTACAAAACATTTTAAAAGGTTAAATCACATTATAGGTACACAAAAAATGTTCGTCTAGCCGGTAAAAATTATTGAAGCTGACACAAAGAAAAGCGGTAGGAGAATCTGTTAGAAATACATAATAAATAAACACAACAAACATCGAGCAGTGAGGACAAATGGTTAAAAGCTTAAAAAGAAAACAAACATACTTTCGTTAAAACTTGAATAAAAAGTGAAATTAAAATACATTTACTCCACGATAATAGACAATTCACTGATAACGAAATGATTAACAGCTTAAAAGAATTTAAAAAACAGATACTTTCATGTGTTAGTAAAATTCATGTAGAGAGTAAAAGCATTTTTCAACCAGATATTTCCTGAGATGTTTTTTCAGCGCAAGGATATTAGTGCTTCTCCGCAACTCACTCGGTAGATTATTGTATACCTTAGTGCACGCTAGAGTGGGAGATTTTTGGAATAGGGCAGTGTTATGTGTCGGTGTCATAGGGTTTGCTATACAACACTTTAAGCGACATGATCTCGATGCATTGTTTTTAGCTACCAATACTCCTGGAAGCAGTGCGCAGAATGGCTCCTCTTAGTCGGGAACTGGCTGGTTTAATATTGCCTCATGACCATTTTGGGTCTCATTTGGATGAACATTTAGGAAGATCTTATTTCGAATTTGCAGGAAATGTATTAGCTGAAGTATGGAGTTCAATGGAAATTGATGGCTATAATGTTAATGCAAAATATGTTGGGGCAGGTGAACAAGATCTTCCTGGTTTTCCAGATATTAAATGGTATTCAGAACATGTGCGTGAGAACCAATACTTGCTTCGAATTGTAAAATATAGAAATACAGAATGCTGTCGTCCAAGAAGTGGCCTATTTAGATTACTAGACAACAGGTTTCTTCCACCACATGTAAAAGTAAAACAAACAGTTGATTACTTGGTTTTGGATGCAGGAGGGCAATTTCTTAATCTTCCAGTCAATTTAGCTCTACGCTTAAGTGCTTCACTCAAAGATTGAAGCTATCAAGTCGAACATGCAAAACGTGTGGTCTTTATCATGCTTCCGTCAAGTCACTAAATCGTCACATCGAAAATATTCATAAAAAAGTAAACACGCACACTGATAGGAAACATAGCCCTGTAAGAGTCGCTGCTCGTCATGCTAATGAAATGTGCATTATTCAAAATTTAGAGCACCATGATGTTGAATGGCTCGATGAGAACGACGTAGACATTCCAAAATCCGATGAAAGCGAGCAAACTCACAACACTGAGCAGCAATCGAAGCAATCCAATGACATCGAAAACTTAGAATCATGGATTCGGGTTTCATGGACTGAATACACCCCAGGATCCGCTCCCAATTCTGGAACAATGAGGCTGGAAAAATACTCATTTTTATGTTTTTGCAGAAGAATACCATGTTGAATGTCAACAGTTATTAAATCAACAGTTTCATCCCGGAGCGACGTGTGGTAAGCGCGTTACATCCTGACTACTAACTACGTAATTTTGGTTCAAAATAAATCTCATGCTAGCTCCTCCTATATATTCCGCATTGCTTGTCGCTGACTGCATAGGTATTTATGCCCCGCTGGCCAATTGGAGCGCGCGAATTCACGCTTCCAGTGTTGCACTTTGTTCCAACGGGGCTAGATATGATTTGACTAAGGTGTAATGCAATGCCAAGTGCCAGATATCGCGTGATTGGTATGTGTGAATGTGACGTTGTTACACGTGCCAAATAGCATATTAGAAAATCGTCCAGTGTACGGGAAGCCTAAGTTGTCTGAAATAATAATGGAAATGAAAAAGTTTGCACATAACGTTAACGAAGCTCTCTATATACGTAGGCAGTTCTGCTACGTTTTTTTAGCTGACCACTTACCGGAATGATCCGCGCTATACTTCTCTGGAATTCTGGGGAGACAAATGAGCACTTTCGCGATTCTTTTGGGAGGAATACCGAACGGACAATAAGGGGATGTGGGCAACGGGTAGTGGGAAGGAGGATGAGCGAGGCGGATTTCTCATTTCGGGTTTTTCCTATCATCGGTAGTTTTATTGTTTCTCCCAACTGGAAACATATAATACGGATACGTTGGTTATTATTGGTTACAATCAAAAATCGAACGTATGAGGAATCCTACAAATTAGTGTTATGTTGGATCTTATTTGAAGATTTGAAGTAAATAATGTGCTAAGTGCCAGAAAATCGGTTTTTCATTTCATGCTTTTAAAATGTTCTAGGTGCCATAACCAACAAATTATATAAAGCGCTAAGTGTCATAGCTATAATATTGTTCTGAAAAAGCCCATAAGAGTGCGTGCTTGTTAATCGCCATAACGCCGCCGGTAAAAAATGTGCTAAATACCAATAAATATATCCTTGTTTTGTGTGCTACAGACGGCAGTTTCCACACTGTTTCCTGACTTAGTGCTTGTTATTGTTTATCTCGTTCCCATTTATAGTTTCAAAATAATACAACAACGGATACTGATATTGGTACTACTACTAGACAGGACAGTAAGCAAAACGAACGTCAGAAAAAAAGATGTGCTGCAGAAGAATATTTTGAAAGCAAAAATAATAAAACAAGTTCCTGCCAAGCATACGGAAGTTAAGTTAATCTGGAGCGACAACTGCGCCGGACAAGATAAAAACAAAATGTTATTGTTTTTATGGATTTATTTAGTTTCCAAGGGGTACATTGATGAGACCAATCAAAAATATCTAGTGTCGGGTCATTCGTTTCTGAGCTGCGACAGGATTTCGCCCAAATTGAAAAGCGAAAAAGGCAAGAAAAATGTGAGGTACTTATAGATTTGATGAGAATGATGATAGCAGCAGTGAAAACAACACCATTTCCGAAGTTCAATTAATACTTCCAAGCTTCATTTTTCTAGGGCCTTGTCGATCAATATTAGCCGAGAAAATCAAGGATTCGTTAGCATCCGAGAAACCCTGAACGAAACAGAGCCTTGGAAAACAACGAAGATTTTGATGAAAAATGTTAATATTGAGACTATCCGAGAAATGGGTCAAACCTGAAGTAACATTTCTAAATAAAAAATTACCACAATATTTATATCTTTGTAATGGCACTTAGCTCTAATATTTATTTTTTTGTAATGGCACGAGCAGGTTGTTGTCGTAGAAAGTTTTTCATCTCGTGCCACAAAGTTTCAATAGGTGACAGATCTGGACTGCTAGAAACCCATTTCAAAAGTGCTACATTAGTTTCTTCCATCCATTTTATAGCCTTTTTTGATGTATGGCAAGCTGCACCATCTTGTTGAAACACAAAATCTTGGCCGGATGTCAAACATTCTTCCATCACTGGTAAAAGCGATTCTTCTAAAATTGCCAAATATTTGTTTATATCCACATTTCCATCAATAAAATGAAGTTTTCCTACTGCTTTTGATGACATACTGCCCCAGACCATAATGGATGCTGGAAATTTCACTTAACTCTTCAGACAGTCAACATGGAATGCTTCATTTTTTGCGAATAACTCTAAGGCGACTGTCACCAACACAAACTTCGAATCGGGCCTCATCACTCCATTGTATTGCACACCATTGTTGAGGTATCCATTGTCTATGTTCTTTAGCCCATCTAAGCCGATTTTCCTTTTGCAGTGGAGTTAATAGTGGCTTTTCTTTGGCCTATAAACGAGTTGTGCAACTTTAGGGTTTTTACTTCACTTTTTATAAGAAAACTTACCTTGCAAATGCTAAATCCCAGTTTGTGGGCCTCTTTATGAGTTGTGGACCTCAAAATTATCCTTCCAACAGCGTTACTCCACAGAGAACTTAATTGTAAATAATTGGCACGCCGGTTTTTCACGATTATACTTCTTACTGCTCTTCGGTCGGCATTTGTGATATTACTTTTTTTCACATATCGTGGCTTAATATTGACTGAACCAGTTACGTTATATCTTCTAACAATATTTCTAAAACTGTACCGCGATAAGTCTAAAAAAGTGGCAATTTCTGAGTTTGAAATCCCAGAATTAAAAAATTTAATCATCAGTAACAGAATTTTCTCACTAATAACCTTTCCTCTACCCAGTTTGAAAACCTTAACTACCTAAAACTATTTTAAACGTATTCTGACAGCTGTGATCAATAAAAGCAATTGTCATGGCTTTTATTTTTTACAGCCACCTATGCGTTATAGACTTATTTTGCATTGAAATGAAAATACGTTCATATGCTGTAATTGCAACATGTGTTTTTTTTATGCTGCAAATTTGATTAGTGAGTGATAAAGTTGGTGTTTTCTACTATACATGATCAAAATATTCATTGTTAATATTTTATAACACCCTGCTACATTTTTATTATTTGTGTTTGAGAGGAAAAAAACTAAGATTTCAATAGTTGGGCCAACCGAAGTGGGAAGGGGCTTCTTTCACTAACTGTTCGGAGTTTTCAGTTGCCTAGAAATCCTAGTAGCACGTTTTTAAATGCTTCCCACACTACTCGTTCTTCTTCTAAGATTTGAAATAATCTCTGCATGACTGACGCTAATGTAGATTTAAAATTATCCTAACCGCATACTTCTGATGCAAAAAGACTCTATTGATGGGCTACATCCTGAGCATAAAATGCCATAATGCAGATGACAGCTAAAGATGGAATGCTCACTACAATGGTTTGATAAAAATCTAATTCCATAAAAACTTCTCTGTAATTTGTTCATGGGGCTCCCAAATGAAATGATCAACGGTTCATTCTAAGGGATAGAGGAGATTGAAATATCAAATTATCATTCACAATACCTCAAACTCAAAACGTTCCCCGTTTACAGTACTTCTTTCGCCCATTTTTCAATCAACTCCCATATTCCACCATCATTGCGATACGTATCGTTTTTTTTTTGTGCAACTGCAAACAAAGTTCGTGGCATCGAAAGCTTCATATACGTCATCACGTGTACAATGAAAAACAGAAACTACTGGTAAACACACAAACTAAAAATGCATTTTGGCCGAAACAGTCCAAAAGAAAATATTAGCGCACCAGTAAAAAGCGGGATGTACGACCGTACACTTGATGAAAAATAGATGAGAATTCTCCCAGTTCAATGGAAAATACTCATTTGTTACACTGCTGTTCCATTTATGGACTACGGCTTGTAGTTTATGGAATTATTAGGAAGCCCCTAGGCAATCTGACGGAGTGATGTCGGGTAATGAATATTTCAAATCTGTTTTGAATTTTTAACTCGGTCACAAATTATATATATCTGGCCAAGCTGAAATAGGCCATTCATAAAATGGTGAATAGGTCAAGTAAGTAGAACGCCACAGATCAATCGAGCTTATCCTAGACGATAATAATAAATCGAATGTTTTTCAAGATATTATGAACTATTGTTGTCCCTAAGAAATAATCGCACGTTACTTTCCATTATTGTAGAAAAATTCTATAAGCGGATTAGAACAGAATCGTACTCTCCAGAGCATAATCTTGGTGGATAATATTATTAGAGCACTTGATAGAAAAAAGGGGCGTAGCAGTGATGTCAGTCGATTACTCCAAGGCATTTGACAAAATAAATCATGAGTTGTTAATAGCAAAGTTGAAGTATTATGGCATAGATCCAATTGCATTGAACTTTTTTCATAATTATATATCAACTCGATCGCAGTGTGTATCAATTGAAAACAATAAATCTAGTTTTCGAGAAATCTCGTCTGGAGTACCCCAGGGGTCTGTTTTGGGTCCCTTGTTGTTTTTGATATATATTGCTGATCTTCCT